GGTCCGCAGCCGGCCTCCTCTCCGGAAGGAAACGATCCCAGTCGGGCCACCTCCGGCTGCCAGAGCCGACGCCCCCTTGTCCCTCCTCCCCAGGCCCGGGCTCTCCGTCCCATTTCCCGTCCCGTCCCGCCCCCAAAGCCGGCCTCGCTGCACCCGGCGACCTGGGGCTGCGCCGCCCGGCCCTCGGGGCGTCGGCTCCGCTGACCTCACCGGCGGAGCCCGGGTCCCGCAGCCCCCGGCAGCCACCCGCATTTTCCTGGGCCCTGGCCCCCGGCCCGTTACGCCCCGGCGTGACCCTCCCCACTCTGCCCCGCCCAGGTCCTCCTGCCCTCGACGCGTCGGGTGTTCTGCCCTTTCCAGGCCCCACCGCGCCCACTCTGAGCCTCCTCTACCGGATCCCCATGGTCCCCGGTTCAGGAAACCGCTGGTCCCATCCGAACGCATTTTTTGGAATACAATGAACTCCCGCCCTCTCTACCTGCATGCTTGAGGACCCACCCAAGTGGAACACAGAAGCACAGTCACTGGTGTCTCCTAAGAAAAGCTCAGTGGCTGGCGTTGGAAAGGCTAGAGAAGATCATGACGCGTGAGGGCTCCATCCCCAAAGTACAGAGAAAGCCCTGTTCCCCACCTGTTGTGCTGGGAATTTGTGGAGTTGCCTACTGGTCTTCTCCATGACTCTCTCCTAATCCCCTCTGGTCTGCTCTCACAGCCTTTCAGGCAGGGTCTCCTGGCTAAAGCCTGGCCCAGTAGGACTGGCAGATTATGGAGACATGTGAACAAATTTAAGTTTGCTAATTAACCTTTGGAAGATCCACTCTAAGAAAATCCAAAGCCTGAAAAAATAAAGAAAAAGGCGGGCTTAATCAGAAAATAAAATAGAAATTTGATTTTTATGTGTGTCTATAGACAACAATTATTATAGGTTATATTTTGAAGACGTGGTATTTTGAAGAAGTCCTTTAAAAAATCTCTCTAAAGTTTGGGTATACAGCTATAGTCTGGGCTGGATTCGGTATCTCTTCTGTTTTATACATCAACACAAAGAGATGGTATTAAATGACACTAAGAAGCAAAGGCAATATCCAACAAGGTGCTCACAGCATTGCTGGAACAGCAGTCCTGCCAGAAGTCCTGGGAGAAGTGGTTCTTTCCACATCAGTCACTGGCTGTGCAAGAGCAAGTGTGACTTAATGTTTCATCTGCTGGCGAATGACGCTCCTTTTCCATGTCTAGGTCATTGCCCCCTTACGCTTGGGAATACAGAGTATTGTACTTTTACACTCCATCAAACACAGAGTCCCCTTACGAGCATATATATAACATGTATAAATAGAACATGTGTGTGTCTATAAACACCATATACATAGCACATAGGTGTGATCTAACCAACCACACTTACTACCATCAAGTCAATGCTGAATCATAGCTACCCCTTGTGGGTTTCCAAGACTGTAATTTTTAATGGGAAGAGGAAGCCCAGTCTTTCTCTCCTGGACTTGCTGGTAGTTTCCAACTGCCAACCATGCAGAATGCAGGCCAATGCAACCTCCACACCACTAGGGCATATGTGGTGTATACACCATAAGAATACCATATGTGTGTACATATGTGGTATGTATGGCATATATATGTTAAATGTGTGGTATGCATTGTGTATGTGGTCTACACATGTTAAGTGCTGTCAGATGAGTTCCCACTCATGTACAACAGAAGCAAACACTGCCCAGTTCTGGGCCGTTCTCACTGTTGTTCTTGTATTTGAGCCCACTGATGCAGTCACTGTATCAATCCATCTTGTCCAACGCTTTCCTCTCCTTCACTGCCCTGCTACTTTACCATGCATGATGTCCTTCTCCAGGGGTTGGTCTCCTGAACACACACACACACACACACACACACACACACACACACATCCCAAGGGACATTTTAAACTTTTAGAGTAGAGCTATTCAATAAAATTTTTGAAGATGATGGGATTATTTTTTATCTTTGTTGTTCAATAAAGCAGCCACTTGAATGTGCTCAATGGAAATATTCTACTGAAGTATTTATTTAGTTCTTACCATAAGCCAGGTAACAGCAGCTCACAAAACAGTCCAAGTTCCCGTCTTTCTGAAGCTTCTCCTCTACTACAGAGACACTACCCATACACAGAAGAACTGAATTTTTTATCTTATTTTGTTGTATTAATTTTTTTTAAAATAACCTCAACTGGCTAGTGGCTGCCATATTGAACACTTTTCCAGAGGGTTTCCTACTATAGAGGAAAAACATCATGAAAAACAAATAGTCTACCCAGACAACAACAGGCTCTATGCTGCTTCATTCCAGTAAGCTACATGATCAGTTATTCTTTTCACAAACATAAATGACTCACCAATTGTTTAGAACTTTGCGGGAATAAAGATATCTTCCTTATTCCCTTCATTAATTCACAAGTGTTTAGAGATGACGCATCATATAAGGTGGATTTTATGGAGATGTCCATAAGAAATCCACTGCCTCCAGTCATGCAGCTTTTAGTGCAGTGCAGAAGATGACCATTAAGCAGCCCCCTAAGCCAACCATGGTAAGTTATCTGAAGGAAAAAGGTAAGGGATTCTGATAGATCGGCACCTAATGTAGTCTGGGAGCCAGGGAAGGCATGAGGAGCCACTGCTAGGAAGGATATTGAAGTGACGCTGCATGCTAACTGGGTGACTTTGACCAAGTGATTTAAACTCTTTGAACTTGAGATTCCTCATCTAAACAATTGTCTTTGAGGATTAAGTAAGACTGTGTATGTAACCGCTTAGCGTAGTACCTGATTCGTCGTACACATCAGGAAATTGAAATCTACTTTTTCAATCCCCACTTTCATTATAAAAGATCTTTGATATCTTATATTTTGCGTGGATTTCATAATTTTATTTAATAATTATTCAGTATCACTCATAAACTAGGTATTATCCTAGGGGTAACAGTGAGAACACACAAAGCCACTGACCACATATACTTTTTATTTTATTAAAAGGGGGCCACACGCAGACACAGACACGTGTGTGTGCATGTCATTCATTGTTAAGGGTTGAATGATAAAATCTGTGTCAGCTTCGCTAGAACATAATCCTCCGTGAGTTGGCCGCTATGTAATGATTAAATTGATGGTTATACAATGATGTGATCACATTCATAATGTGACCCGACATGATCAGCCAATCAGTTATAAGAGGATTAGCATAGGATGCAACACCCTTTCTCAGGTCACAGGCCTTATCTGATGTATGGGAGTTTTTCTCTACTGCATCACATTTTATCTTAAGGGATAAAGGGAGAGAGAGCAAGAGAAGGAGGGACCAATGAAAGAAGAGCCAGAAGTTGAGCATGACCTTTGGACTTAGGTCCCCTCTGCTGAGAACCTCCTAGATCCTGGGAAGGCTTGATGCCAGGTCCCAAGGAGCTCTCTAAGGAACACCATGTTCACTGGTGTGGAAAGAAGCAAGATTTTTCCTCAAGAGCTGACAGAGAGAACGTCCCCTTAGAGCTATGCTCTGGGTTAATATATTTATCACTCACTCATTGACATCAGGTCAATTTTGACTCATATCAACTTTTTAGGGCCCAGAGGATCAAGCCCTTAGGATTTCTGGGACTTTAAATCTTGAGAATAGACACCTTCATCTTTTCCCATGGAGTAGCTAATGGGTTCTAATCGATGACCCTGTAATTAGCAACTCAGTTCATAGCCCACTATGGCACCAGGGAATCTGAATATATATGTACACATATATATAGAAATATAGAAATAAATATATATGCCATATGGTAAGTGCGGCAGTTCCACAATTTCCTGTCACCATGAATCAGGTCATAGCCAATGGTGCCTCTGGGTGGGCATGGCTTTCTCCGGAGGATTCTGGGAACCACTGTGTTCCTCCCTCGAGGCGGGACACACTTGCACTCCCTGTGAGACATTCCTGTTGACAAGCTACTTGTGGACACACTGA